TTTTGAGCAGTTCTTTCATTATTATTGTCATTTCATTTTTTGCCTGAGAGATTATTTCTGATCTCATCTCTTCTGTGGCCTTATGGAATTGTTTCTTTACTTCCATTGCAATCATTTCAACTAATTCAGGCATGTGTTTACCAAGCTGTGCTATGTCAATGTCTCCTGGACTTGTTCTGAGTGGGGTGGAGTTCTGGGATTGTGTTTTAGTCATTCGTTTTGTCATGTTTGATACCGGCTACAGAAAGCTCAGTTTCCCTCTTCAGTGGCTACACAGCAAAGGCCACTAGTGTCCCTAGTTTTCCTGCTGGTCAGGTTTACCCCTCAGTTTCCGCTGAGAAGCTCTACTTAGTCTCTGGTTTTCCGGCAGTTGTTGATTTGTATCTAGTTATCCCAGGTCTCAGGTGCAGGCATTGGTGTCAGCTGATGGCAGACCATCTGATCCAGCGTCCCTTTGCAGTTCAGGGAATGTGCATGGCCCAGATTCGAGTTGCACTGGTGTGACAATCCCAGTCCAGTGGACCTACGTCCCCAGGCAGTTTAGGGTACAGGCAAAACTCAGACACAAACTGCAGGGTTGACAGAGTGTGAACCACCTGATTCATTGTCTCCAGTCAGTTCGGGACACATACAGGAACCAGATGTGGGCTGGACCGGCAGCAATCACAGAGTGCCAGTGCCTGCAACCCCCCGTGGGGTCCAGGCACAAGTAAAGCATGGACTCAAACCGTGGGACCAGCAACTCTTGGAGCACTCGCTCACTCAGCACACAGCCTGCGCAAGGAGGGCCCACACGGGAACCTCGGTGAGAGCAGTTCCTGGGGCTTCTGAGTGAGGACCTCCTGTCTACCACAGGTGCAGGGAGGGCAGAGACTCAGACCGTAATAGCGGCAGGGTCCTGGGTCACCCGCTGTGCCCCCAGGAAGTTGATGGGAAATACCTGACTCTCTCCATGAGTTTCAGCTGGGAACCATGGCGGTGGGAGTAAAGCACGGCCTCAATCCACGGGACCAGCAGCTCTTGGAGCACTTGCTCACTCTCTTACTAGTTTTTGATTGGTTCATATTTTCTGTTTCCTTATACTTTAGTACTGATTGTGTGTTTCTAAGAATTTACACACTTCAGTTAGGCTGTCCAACTTGTTGACATAAGTTATTCTTGGTACTCTCTTACATTCCTTTGTGTTTTACTATAGAGTTGGTAGCAGTGCTTCCATTTTTATTTCTGATTATAGTTTTTTGAATCTTCTTTATTTTCCTTTATCTAGCTAAAGTTTGTAAATTCTAATTCTTAGTTTCACTGATTCCTGCCCAGCCTTCTAATATCTCCCTGCTGTAAGCTTTATTATCTCTTGTGCTAGCTTTGTGTTAGTTCTTTTTCTAGTTTAGGTGTGGGTTTATATGGTTGATATGACGTCTTTCTTATTTTTAATGTAATTGTGTAAAGCTATAAATTTCCCTTTTAAAACTTCACTGCAGCTCATAAGTTGTGGTGTGTTTGTTTTCATTTTAATTTGTTTCAAGATATTTTCTGGTTTTTGTTGTGACTTCTTCACCCCATTAATTCCTCAAGGCTGTGTTGTTTAATTTCTACATATTTGGCGAATTTTCCCATTGTTGTTCCACTACTAATTTCTAGGTTAATTTTCTGCTGATTAGAAAGTATCATTTTGAGCCAGTCATGGTGGCATATGCTTATAACCCCAGGATTCTGGGAAGCTGAGGCAAAAATATCTCACATTTGACCCTACTGAGCTCAGTGACTTAGTGAGACGCTGCCTCAAAATTTAAAAAGAAGGATCAGGAATGTATCTCAGTGTGATAGTCCTGGATTCAAGCCCCACTACCAAAAAAAAAATTGTTCAAACTAATTAAATATATTAACACCAATTTTTGATCTACTATAGCTTCTTAGTTTCACTGATCTGTTCTGGAAAATGTTCTGCATTCATTTGATAAAAATGCTTGCTTTTCTATTTTTGGATAGAATATTCTGTATGTTTATAGGTCCAGTTGGTCTATAATGTCAATTAAATCCTCTTTTTCCTTACTGATCTTCTGTCTAGTTTTTCTAGGGGTAGTAAATTTCAGCTAGAATTGTCTGTTTCTTCCTTCTGTCAGTACTTGCCTCATATATTTAAGAGCTGTGATGTTTGGTGTATGTGTATTTGTAATTTGTAGTTGTTCCATTGTAGTGACTTGACCCTTGTGTCTCATAACAGTTTTTGAGTTAAAATCTGTATTGCCTGATGGTGCTATAGCCACCGCTGCTCTCTTTGGTCACTTTTTTTTGGAGAATTTTTTTCTATCCTTTTACTTTCAACTTGTATGTATCATTAGAAGTAAACTGAGCCTCTTATAGATAGCCTATAGTTAGATTGTTTTTTGTTTTTTAATTCATTTTGCCAGCCTGTGTCTTTCAATTGGGAAATGTAGCCTGTTTATATATAAACTCATTACTAATAAGTAAGGATTTTTATAGCCGTTTTTGTTTTCTGTGTCTTATGCTCTTTTTTGTCTCATATTCCTACTTCCTGGCTTTGTGATTAGTTGATTTTTTTCCCAGTAATGTTTTGATTCCTTTCTCTATATCTCTTTGTTGATAGTCTACAAGTGTTTTCTTTGTGATCACCCTGGGAATTAATATAAAATCCTTAAGTTATAATGGTCTATTTTAAACTGATACCAGTTTAACTTAAATTGCATTAAAACATGTTAGTCCTTTGTAACTCTCCTCCCCCTCTATGTTATTGATGTCCCAAATTACATCTTGTCACCATTAAAGTGGATTTAAACATTTATAATTATTTTATGCTTTTGTCTTTCAAATCCTGTAATAGACTGTGATTATGAATGAAAATTATAATGTTTTTAAAATGTGTGTATTTACCTTTTCTGGAGGTTTTGTTTTGTTTGGTTTTGGTTTTTTGGCAGTACTGATTTTTTGCAGGAGTGAACTCGAGAACTCCTGCAGGGAACTTGCAGGGAACTTCATCCCCAAATGATTGTTTAAAAGTTTGAGATAGGGTCTTGCTGAGTGGCCGAGGCTTGTCTTGACAGTTTGATCCTTCTGCCTCTACTTCCTGCAGTGTGCCACGTGCCTGGCTGAGCTTCCTATTTTTATTTGGCCTGAAGTTCTCCTCAGCCATCCTTTCATTTCATTCAACTTGAAGGACTCAGCATTCCATGGGAGGCAGATACAGTGACGCTGAGTCCTCAGCCTTTGTTTGTAGGGAAGTGTCTTGATTTCTCTTATTTTTGCAGGATATTTTTGATGTAGAATTCCTAGCTGACTTTTCTTTCTTCCAGTACTTTAAATTAACCTTTACATTTCCAATGAAAATCCTCTGGTAATCTTAAGAAGGGTTTGTATGTGCTGAGTCTGCTGTCTCCTGAGGCTTTCAAAATTGTTTTTGACTTTGAACAGCATGTTTAGGGCTCAGTGTGAGACTCTGGTTGTATCCTTGTTGAGTTCATTCCTCATCTTATATTTCTATAGCTGGCGCTTTCCTCTGCCCTGGGGCAGTTTTTGCCATTATTCCTTTGGAGAGGCTCCTTGCCTCTCTTCCCTCTGGTGTCTGCCCTTCCTCTCCTCTGTAAATCTCCCCACCCTTCAACCCTCCCTTCTTTGCCTCCTATTTCCCTCCCTTTCTTGTTCAGCCTTTGCTTAGTAATGTGCGCCTAGGTGGTGGTGATGAACTTGGGGAGCGCTTTCATTCAGAGTAAAAGCTGGGCTGCCATGAGGGCTGTAGTCAGAGGTCTGAATATTTATTTTAGCTCTTTTACAGCTGCTGCAAATAGAATACCTTGAGGAAGGCAAGTGTGCTGTGATTCATATGTGGAAACAGCAGTCACCGTATCTGCTAGGATCCAGGACCAAGGTCCAGCCAGTTAATAGCAAATGTGAGTTAAAACAGCAAACAAGTGCAGTGAACACATGGTCCTGCTGTGGCCCGTAAAAGAGAAATGAGCCTGTTGGCCTCACAGGGGCTGCCGTAGTCTCTGCTCCACCTCATTACCTTGTTCCTATGAGGACACCGAGGTGAGATTCTTCCATCTGCCTGAAGCAATAGACCAAGGCCTGGCTCTAGTTATGTGGTACGTCTTGGGCCTGGGCTGTGCTTTGTGGGAAGGGGAGAAAAGTGATCACCACATTTGTTAGTAGTAGCCACATCTTTATAGTTTTACCCCCTTAGAATTCAGAAATTTAACTAAGTGAAAAGGCGCTAGGAGGAGCCAGGCATGGTGGTGCATGCCTGTAATCCCAGCACTCAGGAGACTGAGGCAAGAAGATTACCATAAATTCAAGACCAGCCTGGGCTACACAAGCAGTTCAAGCCTAGCCTAAACTACAAAGGAAGTCCTCATCTTAAAAAAACAAAAAAAAAAAAAACAAAAAAATATATGTGCATTGAAACATATATTGTTTTGCTGGCTTTTACTGTGCCGTTAGGGGACAGCTACCACTTTTAAGAGAGAAAGTCTGATTATATTTTTTATGCTAAGAGAGAAGAAACATACAGTGCATTTCTTAAATGGCTTGCTTTTGCAAAGGATGTGCAGGGCCAGGTCATTGAGGCAGGGCCAGCTGCAAAGGAGAGAAGGGAACTGTAGGTGATGGGGACCGGGGCCCAATAACTGCCTTGTACCTTTCACAGTAGGAAGCCTTACCTGAGTCCAGGTGTGAGCTTGAGAGTTGGAGATGGCCTTGAAACCGTGAGCAACGCACATGTTCTGCACATGTGCATATGTGCTCACACATGCACCTAGAGGATGGTCCTTGACACCCCTCCCATTCTCAAGGGGACTGTGTCCTTACTGTTGTCCCTCAGACCAGTCAGAAGAGACCAAGTTGCTGTCTAGAAAGCCAAGCAGCCTCATTTGTTCTGAAGTTGGTGAAATGGTATTTCTTGATTTCTCTCTTAAGAGGCCTCTGCTCTAGGATGGATGGATTGGACTGCCCAGCCACACTTACCTTCTGTCCCTTTCTCTTCCTGCTAGGCCAACACCGGACAGATTGATGACCCCCAGGAAAAACTCAGAATCATCAGCAGCAACCTCGCCCTCATTCAGGTGACTCTCCACTTCGTAATCTGCGGTGGGGACCATTCCAGGTAGGAAGGGGGAGGGGCCGTGTGAGCCCTTGTCTCAGCGCTCTGGGCTGAACTTTGAGGACATACGGTCCTCTGTCTACCTGGCCCCCTTCCTGCGGCTGCTGGGGACTCAGCCCACCTTCTGGGCACTGCCACGTGGCACCTGAGGGGGCTGCCTCTCCTGGGACCGAAGATTCCTTCTGCTTCTCTACCCACTTCTTTCCAAACCAAATTCTTAAAAGAGCCACCTATACTTGGTGGTTCCCTGCGCACATGCTAACAGGTTTCTTTCTCTTCTCACTTTTCTGACTCAAACTGTTCTTTCCAACGTCACTGGCGTTCTGCCAATTGATAACATTCTGAGTTTTTTCCATGTGACTTTATTTAACCTTCCTGGAAGGTTGGTGGATCTTTCGTGCATGGAAGTTCCTCCTGGCCCCACTCTTGCTGCCAGTTCTTATAAGCCTCCGAGAGATCCTCTTAGCCCTTTGAGTGCTTCATGCTTCTCTCAAAGTTGTACCTCCTCCTGGTCCTCTTGGAGCTAAGTTCTCATTGAGGGACCTTAATACTGAGCTTTACGCCTGGGAGAACGAGGGCAGGGGGAGGTGAGGAGATTATCTCAGGGGCAAGAAGGAAGGCTGGTTGTGAACCTAACTTTATCAGCTGCTCTACCCTAAACCCTGCTGGGTCTCTCTGGGTTGGAGCAGCCTGCAACATCACCAGAAAAGTGGACTCTTGAGATCTGACAGCCCATTACCTGTCAGCTGGTAGCCTTGGGCCAGGCTCTGTGTCCCTGTCCACCAGTGACACTCGCCATAACCCTCCTGGATTTGAGAGCCCCTCCATCTAACAGAGTATCTCCATCTGCCGGCCCCACAGGCATCCCCCAAGCAGCATAGCTGCATTTGGCCTCATTGTTTTCCCTCTTGCATTCATCTCTTCTAAAGGCCCCCGACTCAGTCCAGTGTGATGGTGGACAGTTCCCTCTGGAAGTCACCCGGCCAGAGGACCTCATTCTCTGTAAAATGGGTTGCAGTGAGGTTCTAACAGCTTAGGGCTTTCACATCCATTACAAACATGGCTGCAGTAAACCAAGGTCCCAGCCCACAGCGCTGTTGGGAAGCTGTAGCTAGTTCTCTAAGGTGTGCTCCTGGGAGGAAGTGTTGAACCCCAGGCCCCTCCTCACTCTGTCTTGCTTCCTGGCCATGAAGTGAGCACTTTTGCTTCGCCATATGCTCCTGCTGTGATGTCCTGCCACAGGGCCAGAGCAGTGAGGCCGGTTGATCATGGTCTGGAGAGTCTCAAACCTCTCAAACTTTGAGGCAAAGTAGACCTTTTCTCTCTATAAACTGATTATATCTGGCATTTTGTGATAGTTGATGGAAAGCTGACTAATGCCTGGCCATCCCGCAATCATGTCAGCTATGCTCGTGACTGGTCCTTAAGCCCACTAGTGCCCTCAGCTGCTCCCCGTACCCTCACTCTCAGCCAGCCTCTCTGAGGACCTCAGAGTCTTGTCTGGTCCAGCCCTGCTCCACCTTCTCCCCTGACTGAGGACTGTAAATCTCTGTGTCCTTCCGACTGCTTTCAGCCCTTCCTTTGCATGGCCCCCCAGTGGCCTTCCCCAAGCTGATGGCACCTCCTGCTTGGTGGGTCCCCTTCTTCTGGAGCGGGCTATCCTTGCTTCACTGGGCAGCCTCATGTCCAGCGCATCCCACTCGCCCTGCCTTGGGCTGAGCAGGGATGTGCACACCCCTTGGCTTGTCCTTCCCCCACTTGTGTGTGTGTGACTGGTGTGAAGTAGAAACCCGTGTTTTCCCCAGGCATTGATACTCAGTTTCCTCCACCTTGTTTATTCAGCATTCACCCATTCCATGGTGATTTGAAGTGCTCTGTGTATCGTATTAAAATCTCATGTATTCATGGCTACATTTTCATATATCACATTTTAAAATTTCTTATATTCACGGTTGTGTCCTTGGGCTTTGTTGCGACCTGCCGAGCTGTCTGTTGCTGTCAGAGCTACGCTGCTGTTGTTACTATAGCTTTAACGTAATTCTGACGATGAATGTGCCCCAGCTTCTTTGGCCTTCTTTCTCTAGACATCTTGGCTGTTCTCACATGCTCACTCGTTTTTGTGACATTCAAAACACCTCATCAAGTGCCATGAAAAATCCTGTGGAGACTTCTATTGGAATTAAAGAGACTGGTTTTGAAACTAGCTCTTCTCACTCAAGAGCATGGATGGCTCTTTTTCTGTCAGCCTTTTTCAATAACGTAACATATTTGCATTCAGACATGTTGAAGCAGGGGTTCCATTACTGAGGTTCAGATCGGGCACCTGGTGGCGAGGATCTGCGCGGCCACAGAGCTGAGTGCTCTGCAGGGTGGAGATGGGCTGATAAGGGGACCCCAGTGCACAGGGCGGGTGCTGAGGAGGGACAGGCAGAAGACCGAGGCCGAGTGTGTGGGCGGAGGCCTCAGCGGCTTGAGAGTGGCACTGTGAGCAGGAGCTTGGTGCTTCCTGATCGCGGCCTGGATCCCAGGCTTGTGATGCTGCGGTGGAAGGTGGTGTCTAGCAAGGGAATGGAGGGAAGCAGCTTGAAGGGAGGTGCTGGGGTCTGTCTTCCATGGTGCAGAGGGCTGCCGACAGATGCAGATGTGAAGGACAGGAGCAGCGGTGAGCAGCAGTGTCCCCTTTCACAAGGACAGGGTTAGTGGAGGGCAGGGAGGATGGGCAGTGGGTAGAAAGACTCTCTCATGTGACTCATTTCTGCCTCAACAGGTGCAGGCCACTGTCGTGGGGCTTCTGGCCGCAGTGGCTGCCCTGCTGCTGGGTGCTATGTCTAGAGAGGAGTTGGACTTGGCCAGGGTGGCATTGCTGTGTGCCAGCAGCGTCCTCACCGCCTTCCTCGCAGCCTTCGCCCTGGGTGAGCAGCACCCTGTGTGAACCCCAGCGTCCACCTAGACCCTGGTGTTTTGGTCTGTAAAAGCCCTGTTCTGAGCACTGTATGTCCCAGCTCCTGGAGATAGGAGCAATGGCACCACCTGCTGGTGTCCTCTCCCAGGCCAGAGACCCCTCGGCCACTGGGCCTTCTCAGGGCCAATTACCCCCTGGGACTTAGTCTCCTGTCCTTCATCTCTCTCTGCAGGAGTGCTGATGGTCTGTATAGTGGTTGGCGCTCGAAAACTGGGGATCAACCCGGACAACATTGCCACACCCATCGCAGCCAGCCTGGGCGACCTCATCACACTGTCCATTCTGGCTTTGGTTAGCAGCTTCTTCTATAGACACAAAGGTAGGGAGGGGTTCAGGGAGGAGGGGTCTCAGGTAGGTCACCAGTAAGGCCGAGCTGAGTGGGAACTCGGACACCCAGCCGTGGCATTCACATCAGGCCTCTGTTCCCATAGGAAGAAACCTAGGGTAATGTTGCAGAATCAGAGCTCCTCCTTCTGCAGGGGGCAAGCCTGAGGTCATTCAGCAGATCCAGAGTGTCCTGGAGAGCCCTTGGTAAAGGGGAAATGAGCAGCTCAAGTTCAACAGACATGTGGTGGTTAATTTCCACTTTTAGGACAGAGAAACACAAGGAGAGGGCCTCAGGCTGCTCTGACCACTTGATATGCCCTCCAAGGAGAAACCAATGGGGAGCAGGGACATGCAGTGACAGTTTTTGAAGGCGCTGCGCTTGACAATAGGGACAGCCTCATCAAATCTCCGATTTGTCAATTTCCTGTGGAACTGCTGACCCAGGGATCACCCCACTTTTACATGCTGGTGACTGAAGCAGACAGATAACACAGTAAGGTACCTGGGACCCTTTCTGTTCTAGCTCTGGGGTGATTCCTTGCCTACCCTCTTGGGTGTTGCCTGCTACCAGTGATACCTGGTCACGTGAGAGAGTCTCCGCGTTGAGTGGGTGACATGATCTATAGGAATCATTTTAAGATACTTTACTTCTAAGCCAAGATTTTCATAGGAGTTAATTACTCATATTTGGTTTGTAAAACAAATAAGAGTTCCAGGCTTCCCCACATCCTCTTTCTGACCCCTACTGTCCCATATGCTTATTTTAACACACGACTTAGGGTCTGGACATTTAGTCACCATCGTGAACCTATAGACATCTCTGTGTTGCATTCGGGAGTCACTGAGCCCGGCCTGGAAGGGCTGTCCTCACTGCCTGAGCAGTGAGTCGACTGTCTCACCTGCCAGGGGCATTGGAGAAGATGCAGCTCCACACAGGAAGTGTGTGTTACCATACCAGGAAGAGTGTGAGGCAGAACCTTGGTGCTGACTTGTGGGCAGTTAGGGAAAACTTGGACCGCACTTCCAAGTGTCCTGTAAGGAGATGTTCCCACAGGCCGCTGTGTCTGAGTGCGTGAGACTTGCTGGGGCTGCCTCCTGTCTCCTGGGGAGGCACAAGGGACAGTCATGCCCACCGTGAATACTTTGTCGGCATTCTTAGGCACCCGTGGAATGGGCCATGGTTGTACAGTGCAGGGAAAGAAGGAGGGGAATGTTCCTAACGTTACTTTCCACGGAGTGCACAGGACACAAACCGTGCTTGTGAGCCCCAGCGTTGGGCCTCCTTGCAGCCAGGTTGTGCACGCCCTGAGCCCGCCCCTGGGAGGCTGTGAAGGTGGTCCTAGAGAAAGCCAGTGGTGTTCTGTGGTACTGAATGGTGAAAGCCACATACAGAGTACAAGGAAGGAAGGGAGTGAACACAAAAGTGGCTGAGTACATTGGGCCCGGGATAGCAGTGCACTGATCCAGACACCAGTCCGTCTTCACCAGCCTTGTATCCGTTCGCAGTGGTGACATGGACATGAGTAGCTACCAGGCGGACCTTGACCCAGGCCCTAGGAGAGACAGCAACAAGTTCCTCACCTTAGATGGCCTCAGCCAGGAGAGGGCTGGTCGCGTGCACCTGGATAAACTTTCCACAGCCCCAGCGGTCACTGGCGGCTACTGTGCACCTTGGGCAGCCGCCTGTGCATGCCCTGGCTCACTCCTGGTGTAGAAGCAGGGTGTGGAGAACATGAAAGGAGAGGGGAATAGCTGTCATGTGGTCACTGTCCTGTAGATCACTCCTCCTTGTAGTATTGGCTGACAGGACATTATATGTGGAAAATAGCAAACAACTGAGAAGCAAAGGTGGATTGAAGACAGAGAGGACCTTCTCCAGTTGCTTAATGGGACAGTGAAGAATGCTTGGAAGGTGTGGTAGGCTTGTCCATCCCAAACAACGAGGGTAGAAGTGGCTCCTCAGGCTTCCCTGTCCTTGGCTCCTTGCCCACCCTTGCCTGGAAATCCAGGCCCCACCCTGGCCAGGCCTTGGCCACATGAGCTGTATCCCCTTTCTGTTTCAGACACCTGGTATTTGACCCCGCTGGTCTGCATCGGCTTCATGTCTCTGATCCCCCTGTGGGTCCTCATCGCCAAGCAGAACCCCCCAGTCATGAAGATCCTAAAGTTCGGGTGGTTTCCAATCATCCTTGCCATGGTCATCAGCAGGTGAGCCTGAGTAAGGAACCCGCACTGCTGCTTTCTCTCCCGAAAGAGCCTCAGTCTGGGGTGACTGGAGCCTGGGCTCGTGCATTAACTCCCAGTACTGGAGAGCACCAACTGTACTCTCATTGAGTCCCAGACCTCACTCATTTTCACAGAAGCCGCCGTGTTTACAGTCCCCAGCACCACGGGCCAGTCTGGGGGTCAGACACATCTCTGCAGCCCCAGGAACCCACCACACTGTAGTGCTGTGGGACACAGGCTTTCACAGTCCAGGGCTGGCCTAGACCCCTGCTTAGACTGCAGGGCCCCTCGTGACAGCCTCACCGTGACAGCTAACTCTGGTCACTGTCCACACCATGGCTACTACTGGAGTCTGGAGGACAGTGGAGTTAGTTTCCTGTGGGCTTTAAAAGTCTTTAGGGGAGCCCAGCTCTGCTTTACTCCAGCTCACTCTCAAGGCCCCTTTCCCGCTAGAAGCCTTTGATGGGGTCCCCTGTATCCATTCTGTTAAATAGTTTTAATATGAGTCTCAGGGAAAAGAGGTTGTGGTCCAGATTATCTTTGCTTCCAAAAGCTTCCTGGGCTCCTGTTCTAATCAATCTACTTTCCCCAGAGTTCTCAGAAGTCCAAGGGCTGGGAAGACCTTTGCTAAACTGCAGTGGCTGGTGGTAGCAAGGTCTTGCTGCAGGAGTTCCTGAGAACAGGGTCATGACGTGATTCTGTGCAGGTTGTATTTCCTGCTGGAGCCCAGCCCAGTCATGGGTTGGGAGCCATCCATCGAGGGAACCCAGCCAGCTGCATAGCCTCCTGAAGCCGTGCACTTATTTTGTAATGGGTTGTCATTTGCTGGGCCTACTGCAACAGTCAAGACTCTAAAAAACGATAGGAAAACTGGGCAGAGGATCTGGGGGAGGCCCACTGGGCTGTCGCAGATGTTTTGGGTGAGGGAAAGCTGAGGCCGGGAGAGCAGACCAGTGGACTGTCTGTGCAGAGAAGGCTGGTGGGGCTCTCGGGGCGCTGGGTCTGCTCATGTGACTGGTGTTTGCTTTCTCCTTAGTTTGGGAGGCCTCATCCTGAGCAAAACCATCTCCAAGCACCAGTACAAAGGCATGGCCGTATTTACTCCTGTCATGTGCGGTAGGTGATGACATGGTTCCCTGGGGTCCCTGGCTTGGGTTGGTCCCTACGGGACATTGGGCCTGAATATCAGCATAGCACCAGGCCTCAGAGGCAGTTGTATAGCTGAGCCATGGACAGATTGCTGCCTGCGGGGCCCCTGGAGCTGGTTTATTACAGATGAGAGGGGACCGGAGGGAAGTAGTGCACGCTCTCTTCCTGGGCACCACCAAGACAGGAGCTTTCCCGACAGAGGTAAGTCCCAGGCCTGGAAGGCAGAGCTTAGCCCTGGCCTTGTTGGCAACTGCAAACTGAATGTGGTGGCCTCTCCTAACTCAGGTATTGGGCTCCTATGTGTTTTTAAAGATTCACTGGTGCCATTGAAGCTCAGATATTTATACATACAAAGCTGGGTTTCTGTCTTCACCTTAAAAACCAAGGCTGTGCAATTCTGGGTTTATATTCTAGCCCTAACCTGATACAGGACCTGTGTTTCTAGTTTGCCTCGATGCCTACCACTTCCTGCTGTCCTGTGTGTGACTCCATCCCTCGATCACCTGCTGTACCCTGTACCCTGTGGGCATTTGGATTGATGGCCCTTGGTTTGATGTGTAGTATCTCATGCAGCTCTGGAAATAGAGCCTGCCGGTTGGTAGAAGCACGAAGCATGCCACATCATGCTTTGTGACCAATCAGTTTGATTGGTCTCCAGGCCTTGGCCTTCTGGGACTGCAGAAATGGGCTTCACAGCTCCTTGGGCAGACCCTGAGTGTCCACAGCATCCCCTCTCCTCCTCCGAGGGTGGTAGTGCCTGTGCTTCTTGGGTGGCAAGTGCCCCCCCATGTGCTCGCACCTGCCAGAGCCCCACAGTAGCTGGACATAGTGAGGACAGCAGCAAATGGCAGTCTGCTGAGAATGTCCCTCAGATGCCAGTGACTCACCTGCCTTTGGAGGCCATTCCGACAGCTTGAGTAGGTTAAACAGGCAAGACAATAGCTGTATAGCAAGGAATGGTGGGGACTGGGGCGAGCCGCAGATCCCAGTGCTCATGTGAAGGGAGCCGTGCCTGCCCGCTCAGCTCCAGCCAGGAGTGGCCTGGTGGGAAAATAGATCCAGATGTGGCTTATTAAGAGAAACCTGGAATCTGGATTAAAAGAATAATTTATAAATGCTCCCAATTAATTTGATTTTCTCTGACTCTTGTAAAAAGTCACTTCTGGGCCAAGGAAGGGGGCTGTGGACATAGAAAAGGGTCAAGCCTCGATCTCTAGCAGCCGCCTCCTAAAGTGAACCATCTCCCAGGCGTGCTGTTTCCTCTTCCAGCACCCACGTCTGCCACCAGCAGAAGGAGCTGAGCATGGCCTTGGTCAGCTGGCCCAAGTGGCCCCGGGAGAGCTCAGAAACCTTTTTCACACTCGTGGAAGCCAGGAGGCTCGGCAGGAATTCCAGGGAGCAAACACGCCTGGCATCTGCTGGCGCTCCTGATTCTGCCTCCAGTCCTGTCAGTGTCCAGCACTCCCTTCATCCCCTCACAGCCCCTAGCTCTGTGAATTGCCCCACAGATAGCCCTTCCGTGCACACGCCCAAAGCATCTATGAACGTGGCCCCCTCTACTAACATTGTGGATTCCCCGGAGAGGAACTCAGCATACAGATTGAAGCCCAGTAGTGAGAAGTGGCTTTGCCTAAAAACGCTCGCGCCCCCAGCCATGAGAAGCGTTTGTGCGCGTCACACACGTTCACCTCTGTGTGTCACCTGCTCTCTCAGCCACGGTTCTCTCCCTGCCCTTTCCTTTCCTAGCGATTCCCTTCTGCTGTCTGGTTCCTGTCCATTCCCGTGGCCTTGCGGTCTAGCGTACTTTCCTGGAGTGGCTTGCTGAGTGTTTATGTCTACTCTCCCCTCTCCTCATCCTTCTTTCGTGTTTTTCCTCCCCTTATTTTACCTCCTTCCAGCCAATAAGTACCTCCTGAGAGCTGAGAACCTGCCTTGCCAGTCACACGCCCCTCACTGTAAGAGGTGCAAGCTGGCAAAGTGATGCCTCACCCAAGAGGTCTGCACCACCTTACTGAGTGCCAGAGAGATCGGGTGGAGGGACGGACATGATACCAGATGCTGACCCAAGCTAGGAAGACTTCCTGGAGAAAGTGAGCTTGCGATAGGAGAACTCAGAGACTGGTGTAAAGAATGAGAAACCCGAGCCTTCTTCCTCCTTGCAGGTGTTGGTGGTAACTTGGTTGCCATTCAGACCAGCCGGATCTCCACTTACCTGCACATTTGGAGCACACCCGGGGTCCTACCTCTCCAGATGAAAAAATTCTGGCCTAACCCATGTTCTACTTTCTGCACCTCAGGTGGGTCTGGTGTCTTCTTGAGGCCGTGTGGCCATCTCTATAAACAAATAGAAATTTATGTCATTTGAATCGGGTTTGCAGCAATGACTGCCTGAGGCCAGTCCAACCTCAGCACAGATCACCTTCTAGGCCCCAGCTGCAGCTCTGAGGGACTTGACTACCCAGACCCATCCGTCTTTCTCTCTCTCTTTGTTTCTTTCACTCATTCATTCACTCATTCATTCCATCAAATATTGAATGCCTACTAAGGAAGGTGTCAGGTGACAGGGGTGAAACAGCCGATTTCTTGCCTTCATGGAGTCCCAGGACCACAAGAGCAAATAAGCGTAAAACAAATGAGCTCACGAGTGCAAGTTGAGATATGTTCCAAAAGATGGAAGCACAAGGTGCAGTGAAGTAGAATCAGAGGATGTACGCAGGCTTGGGCTTCGCAAGCTCCTCTCTGAGAATGAGCAGGGCTTGGTTGGAAGGAGGGATCTGGGGGTCGAAGAAACAGCCTGAGTAAAGGCCCAGAGGCAGGAAGGGGCTTGGCGAGTTTGAGCAGCTCCCAGGCTAGTGACACCAGAGGATAATGAGCAAGAGGGGATGAAGGAAGTCGAGGTCAGAGAGAGAAGGAGGGAGCGCTAGAGGGCCTTAAAGTTTGAGGAAGGAGATTGGTTGTATTTTTGAGAACCCCTGGAAGCCATTGGAGGTGTTTTAGCTTTTCAGATCAGATCTTTTCTCCACTATATTTTCTTTAGTTATTTCCTGTTTCAGGAAATACCGTTATCGATCCTGTGGGGGAGTAATGGTACATCCTAGAAGGATATTTTTGCTGGCTATAATATTACAGGTTGGTTTTTGCTTCAACACTGGAAAATTTTGCCATTCCCTTCTGACCTCCATGGTTTTGATGACAAATCTGCTATCATTTCAATTGCTTTTGCCGCCATGTGAGTTGCTTTTGGAGCGTTAAGTAAGGGGGTGTTTCTCCCTTGCTTATTTAAGACTTCTTTAGCTTCTAGATGTTGGATTATGCTATGGATTGATGAGGATTTCTTAGAGTTAATTTTACTTGTTTGGTGGCCTCCTTAGGTATATTTATATCTTTTGCCAAATTTGGGGGATTTTGCACCCTTACTTTTAGTACTTTTTTTAAAGCCTTATCCTCTTTTTTCCTTGTGATAGTTTATTGACATGAATGTGAGATCTTTTGCTATTGCCCCACAACTCCCTTAGGCTCTGCTTAATTTTTTTCAGCCCATTTTTTTCTCTATCGTTTAGAATGGCTAATTTCTATAATTCTTTTAATTCAAGTTCACTGATTGTTCCCCCAGTCTCTCTTCATTCTGCTGTTTATTGTATTCATTGAGTTGTTTGGTTTTTCTTTTTTTGTTTAACTTTTAAAATTTCTGTTTGAGTCTTTGTATCTTCTTTTTTCTGTGACTTTATTTTTTCACTTGTTTCAAGTGTGTTTGGGATTTTGTGGTGAAGGATGTTTATAATGTCTTCATTAATGTGTAACTGCTGGCTTGAACCCTTGCTGGTACATACATGACTGTCCTATTGGGCAGCTTGTACTGCTGATGGTACAGATGATCTAATCACCTCTGTAGGTCCAGTGGTGGACCTGTGGAATTCATGTACCACTGGTGGTTCAAGCTGCCTGGCAGCAGAGGTACAAACTGTGGCCCCGTTGTGAATGTGTTAAGATTATCTGTAGGTAATTCTGACATCTGTATCATCGCAGTTTGTTGTCTGTTGGATAATTGTTTTTAATCCCCATTGAGGTTTTTCTTGCTCTTAGTATGATGTGATTTTAGGTTGAATCTGGATATTTTGGATAAGACTGTGGATCTTATTTAAATCTTCTGTTGTAGCTGACCTGTTCTGTTGTGGGACCAGTCAAGGTGGAAGGAGAAACATCTTGTTACTTCCAGGCAGTATGTGAGTCCAGCTCACTCGCTGGGCCTCCTCTGACACCAAGCTGGCTGGGAGGGAGATGCATGCTTTGTCACACGGCCATGACTGACACGGTGGGGATTGACTTTCTGACTCTCCACTCTGTGTTCTCAGCATTCCCTCAGCCACAGAGGGGAGAGCCACATGATGCCTGGGTGGAGAAGGAAGGCCAGATACCCCTGTCGGCCTTTGCTGTGGAAGTAGGGCCGTGGCTTTCCCTATAGTGTTTGGCCAGACAATAGTAGTTACTGCCTAACAGTTCTCTGCTTTGCTAGGTTACAGTTTTCTTCGAACTTGGATGAACAGAACAGATACTTGTTGAGTCTCTGCTGTCATTGGCAATTCTGGTCTGCCAGATCTTGTAGGATCCAGTCTGAAATACATACAATCAACTTTTAAAAAATCTTCAGGAAACTCACACCATGTTGCTTGTTGGTTCCTGAAGTCCCTAGCCAGCTTCCCTTTCCTCTCCATCTTTCAGAATCTTTGTTTGTTTCACATATTATACAGAATTTTTAGTTGTATTCAGTGGGAGGGATAGGGCTAGGAAGATGTGTCTGTTCCATCTTGTCCAAAAGTAGAAGTCTCAGGTATCCAATTATCCTTTCTTTCTTGGTTTGTTGGTTTGTTTTTGTTTTTTTTTTTTTAAACTTTTTTTTTTTTTTTTTTTGGTTTTTCTCCGGTACCGGGAACCGAACTCACGACCTTGCGCATGCCAGGCAGGCGCTTTTGCCGCTGAGTTAAATCCCCAGCCCGGTTTGTTGGTTTGTTTGTCTTTGCCCCGGCTAAGTTCATCGGCTACAGTGCTGTTTCCTCCTCCACCTCTGGGTTGCTTGGATTACAACTGCACAGCACATGCTGTACCTGGCTTCCATTTTTTCTGACTTGTCATTTACAATAGAAAACCATTTGTTTTTCTGTTATTTAGACACCAAGCACTTTACTGAATTCTTACTGTTTATATGTAGGTTCTCAGTAGATTGTCTTGAGTTTTCATACCACTGCCTCACACTTTAGGCGCCATACTGCAGGCTGTGTATTATTTTGCTTCTTATTTTGGGGGACATTTTTAAAGATTTTTTTTCTTTTGTGCTGCTGGGAATAGAGCCCAGGGCCTCACATACACTAGGCAGGTGCTCTACCACCGAGCCACATCCTGGCCTTTAAAAAAAGACTCCTTTTATTCATTGTCTATCATTTCTCGTTATGCATAGATCTTGGTGCGCTTACTATTCTCTCTGTATCTTATCTTATGGTAGGCATTGTAGCTTTTAAGTTACATACGATTTTTCCCTTCCTTTCCCTTATCTTGTTGACATACATTATATTAACTATGAGGCGAATAGAAACTTTTTATTGAAACTCTGTTTCTTTTGAGAAATCAGTTACATTTACATGTTGTAGTTTAACATGTTCACAACCAGGCCGTAATTTTTACGTCTGACTGCCAGGTGGCTTAAACCACTGGTGGCATATACATGACTGTCCCATCAGGCAGCTTTTTATTAATTTTATTAGTAAAATGATTGCTAAAAGTGATTAAATCCATTTGTACCACCAGTGGTACAAGCACCCAGTGGAACGGTCATATTTATACCACCAGTGGCATAAGCTGGAGGGAACATGTTAAAACACTGCTTGTGTAGAATAAGGGTGAATGACCTTCACTGGAAAGTGTTAAACTCATAGAGGAAAATTGGGGAGTTCACTAGCATACGCAGTTGTGCTGTCGAAGCCCCAGAGGCTTAGAAGAAGCAGCTACCAAGGTGTCCTGTGAGCATTCTGCCCTCGCCGGGTTACTAACGTGATGCCTGGGGGAATGCGGGAATGCCCCCAGACACCGGTGAGCTCTCTTCTACCCTGAACTCCTCATATACTCTCTTTCCTCTGCCCAGAATCCTTTCTCCCAAATTGATCTCAGCTTAAGTATTACTCCCTGAGAGGTGTTCTGACCTCTGGATCTCATCCCCACTCATGTATTCATTGTGTCTCTGTAGTACTTGTCATGTCTCTGTAGTACTTGTCACAGTTTGAAATGGCTTTTCTTACTTGTTTTTCATACTTGATTATTATCTCATCCCAAAAATGTCAGCTGCATGCATGTATTATTCAATGGTTACAAGACCTTGCCAGGGCTGGGGCAAGGCTCCTCAAAAGACTGCACACGCTCTAAATCAGATTTAATGGAGGACACAGAAACTTACAAGATCAGCCTGCAGTGGCCGACCACAGAGTCAGATGTAGAGGAGTGCACACTAGAGATCCAAAGGATCTGGCTGAAGGCCTGGAGCCCACAGCAATGTCCCATGCAGATCTGCCGCAGGAGGCTGAAGGATCTGAGACGGAAGACTGAGTGTCTGCGCTGGGAGCTTGAAGGGTTGGGGCTGAAGGCTAAAGAGTCTCCGCTGGCAAGCCCAAAGGCCAGTGCTGGAAGCTGAAGATTCTGTGCCGAAAGCCAAGCGATAACGCCCAAGGCGAAGGGGGAGACCAGAGCTCCTCCAAAGAGAACAGCGAGAGCTCCTCCAAGGAAAATCAGCTGAAATCCTTCCCATCTGTTCTCCTTTTTATGCCGTTCAGACAACGATCCTTAAAGTGGGACTTCCACGACTCAGTTCAGCTGGACATTCTCCACTCAAGGTGACAATCAGTGAACTACCACAGTGCAGCCAGAGGCAAGACCGAATTCTCATCTGCTGGAACGTGCCTCATAGTAGGTGCTTAGTAAATACTTGTGGAATGAATAGATGAACAAATGTGGAAGCCTTATATTTTGTGTTGGTTTGGGGCTTATTTTGCAAGGGAGAATATAATACAGGATACATATTTTATATGATTATTTATAATAGTCACCCAAAGATTGATACACAAAAGAGTACAGGAAATCTGTGTACACTGAGACCAAGGAAACCAGCCGAGGGCCTGGATCCCACAGAAATGTCCTGCACAAGTCTATCTGTAGGCCTAGAGCTCAAACAATGCCTACCACGAGTCCACCTGGAGGCCAAGAGCCCATAACAATATCTCATGCAGACCTGTTTCAGGGATCTGCACTGGGAAGACCCAAAGGTCAGTGTTGGAATCTAGGAAGTCTATGCCAGCGGGATGAAGGATCTGTGCTAGCAGGCTGAGGGATCTGCACTGGAGCTAGGAAGCGACACCCAGAAGAACCAGAGATCCCCTGAAAGGTACTGTGGCCATCCTCAGCAACAGTGAGGTCCTGAGCTCCTCCTCTGATCAAGATGGCGTGTTCTCATTAGGGAAGCCAAGGCCGCGGTCTTCTCTAGGAGACTGGCAGTGCACCATCTTCCCCTCCAGAGCCAGGAAGCGATGCTCAAAGTGAGGACCAGAGCTCCCCCAAAGTGAACCAAAGCCATTGTCAGTGTAAACAAGGTCCCGAGCCCCTCAGAGGATGAAAACAGCCAACTTCATCAGGAAAGCCAGCATGACAAGCTCCTCCAGAAAACCAACAGCTCCTTACAGCTTCCACCAGCTCCAGCAGCCTCTCTCAGCTCCCAACAGCCTAACTTCTTCTCCAGTGCTGCCTCTTATACGGCTGACAACAGTCCTCAGGTGGGCCGCCCACACCCAGCACACGCTTGCTCAGTTCAGCTGGGGGTTATAAGTTTACCACCAGTTGTCAGTCCCCTACACTTACTGAGAACGACCACATGCCAAGGTCACCTCTGCTGCCAGGAAGGTCATGCAGTGCTCTCAATTCTGTTTTTTCCAGAAATCAATTCCAAGTCAGCCAGAGTCCTGCTCTTTCTGGTGATCCCAGGCCATCTGATTTTCTTCTACATCATCTACCTGGTGGAGGGTCAGTCAGTGACCAACAGCAAGACCTTTGTGGTGCTGTATCTGCTGGCAGGCCTGATCCAGGTAAGGAAGACCGCAGCAGCAAGGAGCAGCCTCCACTGGGTCGCTTAGCTGGCGAGCATTGTCTCCTGTCCTCAGCGACAGGCTGCGTGGAACCAGGTGGGAAAGGGGTCCCACACTTCTAAGGACCCAGTCAACTTGTTCAAGCTACATGGCCTGGACTAGACACAGGCCTCGGCACGCACTGCATACCTCCCTCTGTGTGCTGTATATGATGCTGCACACTTTAGAGTGTGCCCTGCAGACTGCACTCTGCGTGCCACTCATCGAGCAGCTGCCTGAGGATGCGCTTTGTTCCCATGGAGCAGGCTGAGTGGGTCTAGTGAGCCATGGCGTCACAGAGGGTGGGTGGGCAGGGACCAGGCTCCTGCCAGGGCGCTGCTACAAGGCGCACAAGGTCTTTGTGCAGGGTTAGATGGTGATGAGGACAGCAGTGAAGAAGATTAAACTGGTACCAGCTTCACAGTGGCATTCAGCAGATGCCACAACTCCAACTGGCTGATGTCCCCAGTGGGCCTGGGGATTCTGAAGGAGCGTCTCTGGGCACTGGTGGGCAATCCTTTGTGGGTGTTGCTAGTACTAGGGACTGGGCATTTTCTCACCTCCCCAGGTTTATGGCATTTGCAGTTGTGGCATGATGCTGACCCCAGAGGACAGGCTTGGGCGAGTCTGAGCGGTTGTCCTGAGTAGCTACAGTATGTAGCTCTGGTTAAAGAGAAATGAGCCTAGATGAAGTTCAGAGTGGCCATTGGACCCAACCACGGCCTTGTGGCCTCCATGGGCAGCGTTAGGAAGAGCTCACCAACCAAATTCCAGGGAAGAAGGGCTTCAGCAGATACTAGAAGTCCCAGCAAGGTCCAAGGAGTAGAGTGTGGTAGAGCAGAGAATGTCCCAGTCGGTAATTGGCAGCAGATCCGTGTGGCACTTTGGGGCACTAGTCTGTTTAGTGTCGCTGAGTAACTTACAAAGAGAAGAGGCTTATTTGACTCACAGTTCTGGTGGTTGAAGGATTAAAACAGCATGGTGCTGGCATTTGGTGAGGGCCTCCTGGCTATGACACTTGAGGGAGAAGTGGACGGGGACCAGCCCTGTTCTGGAAGGGTGCAGGTGTGAGTGAGGAAGCAAGAGCGCAGGGAGGAGCCAGGCCCACTCCTTTATAGCTCAGAGCTCAGTCCCCAAGGCCAGACCCACCCGCTCCGACAGTTTTAATCCATTGATGACCTAATCTCCTGCCTCTTAAAAGATTCCACCACCTCAGTACTGCCACGCTGGGGGTCAGTTTCTAGCACAGGTGCAAGTGAAAGCAGACCTCGAGAGAAGCTTGAGGAAGGGGCTGGCAGGGGCTGACACGTCTGCTTTGGTGTCTGCCCTGGAAACGCAGTTGGGGTTTCTTGGCTCTAGTTAGCCTTCTGACTTGGTCTTTTGTGTCCGCTTGCTCTTCTGATAGGTGATAATCTTGCTGTACTTGGCAGAAGTGATGGTTCGGCTGACCTGGCACCACGCTCTGGATCCTGACAACCACTGCATCCCATACCTTACTGGGCTGGGGGACCTGCTAGGGACTGGCCTCCTGGCACTGTGCTTCATTGTCACCTGGGTCCTGAGCGGCAAAGCAGAGCTGGATGCCATCTCGGACCTGGCCCCTGGAGCTCCGTGACCCAGCCTAGCCGCTGCGGTGGCTCATAATGTTCCCTCACAACAGAGTGCAGCGTGTTGTCTCTCCCTTGCTGGTCCTCAGGATGGTTGGCAGCCTGCCTCTGCAGCGGCTGAGCAGACCCACACAAACTCTGACTTGGGTTGGTAGCTGAGCGCTGAAATCAGGAGCCTTCCTTGTGAGTGTGTGAATGGGAGTTTGCACGTGTGTGTGCAAAGCAGAGTGTTCAGGCCTGAAGACGGCTTGGGAAAAGGCAGGTCTGGTGTGTGCGCCCTGGTTTATGCCCGTGTAGCCCAGATTCAGGTGGAGCAAGAGGGAGCTCCTTTGTGTCCCCAGGTCTCAGGACCGCACCGTGGCTTAACTGCTGTCTTCACTAGGTTCCAGGCCTGTGGGCCGCGCTGTGGGGGTCGTACAGATGTGTGCACCCTCCTCAAGGCAGGCTTTGCTTTCTTCTCTGCTCTCAGCATTTAAGTTTGGTGCGGCTTTCTTTTTATTTACCTTTTTATTTGTTTAGTTTTTTGGGTTTTTTTTTAGCACAACTTTCTGTTTCAGTGATCAGAGACATGTAAAATAAAACAGGTGATACTATACTTGGCCTTTTGCATCCTTAAACATACTTAATACAACCAAGAGACTTGAGGTCTCTGAGAAATCCCTGGCATTTCTATAATGTAGAATTTCTCAAACTATGGTCTCCAGCCTAGAAGCATGAACATCAGCAGGAAACTTGAAAAAAATACAAATTATTAACTCCACTCCATCCCAGGATATGCTAACTCTCAGGTGATTCACATGCACACTTTGGAACTGCTCCAGAACTTCGTCCTTTTTTATGTTTTATTTATTTCTGATTGGCGTATAGTATTTGTACATATTTCTGAGGAACAATAGGATATTTTTGTTCATATCCTTTTTTTAAAAAAGTATACGTATTTCCTGTTACTTATTAATACCTGGTAACAACGTTAGCCATGGTTTGGGCTGAGGATTATTACCTTCCTATGGCAAAACAGGCACCTTATTTGTTCAGGTATCTTAATTCTCCCAAGGTCCCATGGCTAATGAATAGTGGGTCCAGGATTTGAACCTAGGAAGTCTGCACACACAGCTCAGACCCAAGCAGTGTGTGCGGTAAAGAGGTTTGACCAAGAAGGCACAGAGTTTTCATCAGGAAATGGCATCTGAAGCTGAGCTCCAAGGGTGAGGAGGAGGGAATCACGCATTGCTTCAGGAGGCGGGAGGGGGGTGGGAATTACAGCATTCAAGCAGGTGGCCTGTATTATAGGTAAAGGCGAGGTAGAGCAGTGGGCCCAGGGCTGAAGCTGGAGTTCCTGAAACATTTACTGACCATTTAGGGGATAATGGTCCTGCAGTGGGAGACAGAGAAGAGATTACAAGAAGGGAAAAGAAGCAAAAGAGTAGTGTGTCCTGGAGACCAAAGAGGAAGGGTTTATGGAAAGAGTTACTGAAATCGAAGGAACCAAGGTTATAAGGATGTTTGTTGAATTTAGGACAAGGGGTTCCTTGGTGAGAACCGTTGAGGAAGACTTACAGACCAACACACATTAGTGAGGGAATGAGGCACAAACTGGACTTTACAAAATGCAAATAAGTATTTTAGTAAGTTTGACCCTTCAAGGAAGGAGAGAACTTGGGTAGTATGAGGAATTGCGCCCGAACCAAGACTGTCACTTTCCATTCCACCATGAAGGATTATTGGAACCTACCCAGTGAGTTTTTCATGGCCCCCTTGCCACAGAATACAAGAATTTCACTGGCAAGCGTTCCTTGATTTTTCTTTGATTTTGTATCTTTTATCCCTGACACTTGAAATCTCTCATAGCTGGATCTTGTAGGAACTGACACAATTGCTGGAAATGGAACCCATTTTCTGAAGCCAAGAGAAGCTTTCAGAGACTGTCCTGGTACAGAAATTTCAACCTGATGTTTTGTATTGCTCAGGACTCTTGTTTACAAGTGACAGAGGCATAACTCTGATTAACATGAAAAACAACTGATTCTAAAATAGTGTTAGATGGATTTGGGTAAGAGTTAGGGCTAGAAATAAGTAGGGATGGAGATTAAAATCCTCAGGGTTGGATCCAGCTGCAGGAACAAAGTCACCTTCTGGGATGAATTCAGCTACAGAGCTGAGGTCATGGGTCAGTGCATCTGCAAGACTGAGGGCAACACTGGAGGTGAATCCTGTTCCTCAGTTGACATCATCCGGCTAGCACAATTCTGTCAGCTTCTGGAATTTTTCTGGCAGGCTGAGGTCAGCCCTGTGCATGAATTTTTCTTTGGGGAAAGGTAGTCATGACTTTTGATACAGCTGTAACTTTGAAATAATTGAGGATGAATCTCTGTGCAGATTTGAAATCATTAGAAATAAACCTATCTGTGCAGATGAGGTTGTTAGAAATATACCCGATTGAGGGCTGAGGCCAGCACATGGATGGATTTTCCTGTGTGTAATCACACATCCTGAGTGCAGCTGAAGGAATCCAGATGATCAGCATGAGGATGAATATTACAGTAGGACTGAAATCAGTGTCTGGCTGAATCCAACCGCCATTATCAGGATTAAACTTACAACTTAGTGTGAGGTAATTACCAAGTATAAACCCAGGTCTGGAGCTGGGTACCTCATCTGAGATGAATCTTGACTAAAGTCAGTGTCTGGTGGACCTCACAGTTTGGGTTGTAAGAGTGAAGGATAGGAAGTGGGTCTGAACCATGGTCAAAATAAACTGAAGGTCATGTTTGAACTCAGGGTTCAGTTAGACATCACAATCAGAGCTTTACTTGCTCTGGATGACAGTGTCAAGTAAAAGTTCTCAATTGGTGAAAGTCAAGCTGAGGTAGGAGATTAGGGTAGGAGGTTAGGATACTATGTAACCAACCATGAAAATATGTCAGAATTCATAAAACCCCATGACTAACCAACTAAGCAGGGTGTTTCCTAAAAAGAGAAGGCATGTCAGAACACAGAACCCCACATGACTGCAAGTTTATAACTCCTGAATACTGTTCATGGGACCAATCAGAAAGCACTCTCTCTAACCCTTCATTCAAATCTAGTGCTATTTCCAGGACCAATCAGAAAATGCTGTTCTTAATCCCTTATTTACATATGGGCATAACCAACCAATCAGAAAATGCTACTAATCTCTTGTTTACATATGGGTATAACCAATCAAAAGTTACTGTTCTTTTTTTTTTTTTTCCGTTTTTCTCCGGTACCGGGAACCGAACTCACGACCTTGCGCTTGCCAGGCAGGCGCTTTTGCCACTGAGCTAAATCCCCAGCCCCAAAAGTTACTGTTCTTAATGGATCCTTCATTTATATCTCACAAAAGGACTATTAAACTTTGCAGTTTGTAAAGTGGCCAGGCCTGGTGTCACTCATCTGTAATCCCAGCACTTGGGGCTGAGGCCGGAGCATTCAAGGCCAGGCTGAACTACAGAGTGAGACTATTTTAAACAAAAAATTAAGTAGAAGACGTCTCAAGATTTAACAGTTATGGCCCTGATAACTCAGGGCCATAACTAGTCTTGCACTATTTGAAACATTTAACTTGAAAAGGATGGAAGCAAATGAAATATGGGATTATTTATTAACATAGAAAGTAGTTTATGATTTATTAAAAGGTAAATTAAAAGAAAAAAAAAATGATGGAAGTAGCCTGGCACCATTGCACACCAAACCATCAGGAAGGACTTCTACGGGAAGGAAGAGGGGCAGAGGTGAGAGGGTCAGCGGAAGACTTTGGCCCCGCCCACGTCAGTTTGCTGCCTATCTGGAAGCAGCTGTTCATCTGGACAGTGTTTCCTTCTTTCTAGTTCAGTCCTGCCTGTGGGGACACCCCCACCGCCATGTCCTGTACACCCAGGCCTGAGCATGCTTGTGAAGATTACAGTCCTGGCCTTACTCTCCTCATCTAGGAATAGTCTTGTGTTACCTTGAGACACTTCCAGGCCAGTCCCTCCACTTCCGGATCCTGGCTCCATGTCCATTTCTGGCTAAAATGCCTCAGAGGCCCATCGCATGCTGGCTCTAGTGGCAGCCACCTGCTGCCTAGTTTCCTTTTTTTTCCCTCAGTACTGGGATTGAACCCAGCGTCTTTGTCTGAGCTGTAGAGCTGCATCTCCAGCCCTTTTTATTTTTTGATACAAGAGGCTTGCTAAGGTCACTGTGTAGCAGCAGCTTAAGTCTTCCTTCTTAAAACCCTCATTGTCATCTCTCTTCACCCCACACTCTGTCGACTCCCCACTGTGAAGTGGATCCTCGCCCTGTGTCCCAACCTCCCTCAGAGCAGGTGTCTCTGGAGATAAGTCTGCTCCTGGGATGCTGCAGTCCAGACTCATCTGAGATTCCCCATGCTTGGCCTCTTGGGCCTTGTCTCAAAAAATAAAAAGGCAACATGATGAAGCAGTAAACACTTAAAAAGTAAATTTTAAAAATTATTTTATTTTTGACACAGTAATTATACATATTTATGAGGGTACAGTGTGATAATTCAGTACATGCAATACATACCTTCCCCACTCTAAGCCCTGCTTGGAGGTCACCACCTCAGGGAGGGCCCCAACCCCAGGCTGGGGAAGCAACATACCTTTCCTGTGACACCTCATGCTCTGCCCAAATCCCAGCTCCCAAGTGTGCCTGCCTGGGTCTGTTTCATTTCCAATCCCTCGCTGTAAGTGTGTCCTTCACGGCCAGTGGATACTTTTATGTGAATGTTGAGATGGTTTGGACAAAGAGGAGAAACGAGACAATCAGAGAAACTCAGTAAGGGAGAGAGGAGAAGATGAAGGGATGGTGGCGATAGACTTGTAATAGTACAATAAAAATGTGAAAGAGAATGGCCTGGGAAAGACGCAGAGAGGAAAATCAAAAAAGGGGGGACCAGCAGAGAGATGGAGGAAGGCAGAATAAAGAAGGTGGCATTGACCAGAAGTGGTACTCTTGGGAACAGAAAGATAAACAGAAACTCATTACATGCCGAGGGTTAATACTGTCTTGCTGGCAATTATGTTTCAAAAAATAAATATGGGGGACACATTCAGACTGGAGCCTGCCAGTAAGGGCTTATAGGAAAGTATGGTAGGCAGAATTCTCAGATGGCCCTCAAGATTCCTGCCGCAAATGTATGTGTTTTATGCAATCACCCCCTTTGAGTGTGAGCAGGACCTTGAGTATTACAGAACATTACTGTCATGAATATATTGCATTCTATGACAAAAGGTATTTTGCAGATGTAAGTAAGGTTAACTTTGAGTTAAGCAAAAATACATTATCCTGGGTGAGCCACACTGAATTGTATGAACCCTTCAAAGAGATAAACAGCTGCAGCAAAGATTCTTCTGCTGACCTGGAGGAAGTGAACTACCATGGTGCCTGGGAAAGGGTTACAAATGAGAGCGAAATGCATGTTTGCTAAAATGACATTGGCTGCTGTCTTCCTCAGAGACTATCTCCTGAGAAAGGAACGTATAGAGAGAACTGTTGACACACAAAGGACTGACCATTCCTTCACCAAGACTCTTTTGTCTGAACACAGTACTTAAGAAACTGAAAAAACTAAAT